CTAAACCCTAAACCCTACAGCATCAACGACTCATGAAGTAGCAAGCTTTTGACCGGAAGGCCAGTGATCCTCGCGAGAAACTCCAAACCGTTAGCTAGATGCAAAAAATACCTTGGATTCCTTAAATGGTAAAGCTTTCTGAAAAGAAAGAGCCCCTTACCAGGGATCCTTATCGAACCCTCGCCACCCATAAAGGAGCCAGTTGGAATTTAACGGGTCCCTAATGCTGCGAACAAACCCCACACCCTAAACTCTTCAAGGGACGAGTCATGCCCTGAAAAAACTTGAAATCCTGAACTTTAAACCCTATAAAGACTAAGGGGTACTGAAAAGGAGCCTTCAACAAAAAAGTAGCGGACCCCTAACCCTGTGAAGAGTCCCCATGCAGTTTGCTCTTATCGGGATTTTCCGGGTAGAACTTGGTAGGGTCACGAGAACGATTGAGCTAACGATACTAGTTACGAAGCTGAAGCCCTTGTCTCTGTCTTACCTCGTCTGTCGGATAGCTCGGTACTCTCGCAATCCCAGGGCCGATGAGATGGCCCCCTAGCAGCCGATCAAACCCTAAACCAAAAGCCCTAAATCCTACCCGAAATTCTCAGACATCGACTCAGGTCTGCAGACATGGAGCGAGGTTTCCCGATGCTGCTTGGGCTGAAAAGTTTCCTGTTTGGCGTTGCTAAGTTGTGCGATTGGGGATTAGGGCTTAATTCGGGTAGTTATGGTTCTTAGGACTTTTGGTGCTTTGCAAGTTTAGGGTAGGGTTCAAGATGTTTTATGTCCTTTTCATTCGGGTGAAGGAGTGCGGAGGTGGTGCCGTAATCACAGCTGGGTACCGCACTCACCCCACGCCCGAAAGCCCTATGTACTACCAGGCGCAATCTACTTCTGCTTCTTCTTCGGTCTTCGGCCTCTTCTATTATTTTAGATACTACTGCTGCCGACCTTAGTACTTCTACTACCTTTACTTGCACCCCAGTGCAGCTCTAGCCGCAGTATTCTCGTATTGATGATGGCTGTGTTCTCTCCGCTTCTTTGGAGGCCGAAGGGCTGCTACTACAAGGGCTACCCCACGGGAAACCGGCGAGAGGTCGGATTCCAGGGTTAGAGGGTTTTGTATTTTTTTAAAGGGTAATTTTAGGCATGCTTGGAATATCAATTTGGAGTCTGGGCCAGGAATGTCGGCGTTGTTCTGATCATGCCCTGGCTTCTTGAAGTATCAAGGTCGATTTTTGTGGGGTTGAAAGATCTTGGCTTCAGCTTTGCAGTGTTGTGGATTCCAGGCCTGGTCGATTGTCATACCATGATAGTACGCATGAGAGATTGAGAGTTTGAGTCGTCTGTGTAGCTCGAGTTGTGCATGGATTCCAAACTCCGGCCATCCTCTTACGCCGAGGCCCGCAGCCTTCGCCATCGGACGTGGAAGTCATGTAAGTGTACTATTCTCGGTTGTTGTATGTACTGCGGCCGTGGACCATTATTCCTTGGTGTGCTGTCTAGGACCTACCTAGCTGCGAGTTCGGTAGCTGGGCAGCTGGTTGGCTAACGTACACATACACTAGTTTGGCTAGTCTGCTCACTCCCTCAACCACTTTCGCCCACGACGCAGCTGTTGCTACCATCAGCTTTGGTGTGACTGTGTAGGATCACCAGCTCGAAATTGTCTGAAACCGCAAGTGACTGAGTACAGTAGTCGTCTTGTTTTAGATTTGGTACTTTCACAGCACGACGGTGATCGTTATCGTAGTGGCAGCACCAGTTGCAGCAGATGGTATCAGTAGCAGTATGATAGCAGTAGTAATGGCAGTAAGAAGCAGTAGCAGTAGCACTGGCAGCAGCAGCCGGCAGTCGTCGTCGTCGGAGTAGTAGGAGTAGTAGGAGTAGT